AAAATGTGTGAATAACCCAACATTCAAAAACCGATTTATTATAAATGAAAATCTGGTAGGAGTTGAAAAAACTAAAGCAAAACTGAAACTGGATAAGCCGATTTTTCTGGGAATGAGCATTTTAGATTTAAGCAAATTACATATGTATCAGTTTTACTATGATGTCCTTAAGAAAAAATACAATGAAAACATAAAACTGGTTTATACTGATACTGACAGTTATGTAATTCAAACAATGACTGATGATGTCTATAAGGATTTCAATGATATAAAGCAACACATGGATTTTAGCGACTATCCACCTGAACATCCATGCTTTGACAAAACTAATAAAAAGGTCTTAGGAATGTTTAAGGACGAATGCTCTTCAAAGATAATTACCAAATTCATAGCTCTCAAACCTAAATCATATGCCTTCACAATTCACGGTGAGGTTGATGAACATAAGAAATCAAAAGGTGTAGTGAAACACAAAGTGAAAAAAGAACTGTCGTATCAGAACTACCACGAAGCATTATTTCAAAACAAAAAGCATGAAATCACATATAACTTCATCAGAAGTAAGTCGCATCAAATATATTCAATGTCTCAAGTAAAGCAATCTCTCAGTAATTATGAAAATAAAAGGTTTTATATTGATGCTTTCACTTCATTGCCTTATGGACATTACGCTATTACAAAGTAATAGCCTAATGAGCTTCGCGACATTACTCCATAAAATAATTATCTAAATAGTTCTAATAATATGAAATTATTAGAATTATTTTCAGGGACAGGCTCGGTTGGTGGGGTTGCTCGGGATTTGGGTTTTAGTGTCATTTCCCTTGATTTGAAAAATGCAAATATCAATACTGATATTTTGAGTTGGGATTATAAACAGTTTGATGTGGGTGAGTTTGATGTGATTTGGGCATCCCCTCCATGCACCGAATACAGCCGAGCGAAGACGACGGGCGTCCGAAAGATTGAGTATGCTAACAGCATCGTTTTGAAAACCCTTGAAATTATAGATTATTTTAAACCGAAATACTGGATAATAGAAAATCCTCAAACAGGATTATTAAAAGAACAACCGTTTATGAGTGGTTTAAACTACTATGATGTGGATTATTGTAAATACGGGTTTAATTATAGGAAGAGAACAAGGTTGTGGTCAAACATTGAAACTTGGAAACCTAGACCATTATGTAATAGGGATTGTGGGAAAATTAGGAATGGGAAACATGTTGAAACAGCACAACGTTTACCTTCAGGAAAAAGGGACAGTTGGGGAGAGGGATACATCAAACATAAACAAGATGAACTGTATAGGGTTCCTCCCGAGTTGATAAGTGAAATAATTGTTTGTTTGTTTTGATGGGGTGTATTACAAGTGATTAGGAGTTTGTTATGGGAAACCCTCCCACCACCAAAGCCTGAAAGGCGACAGTCACATAGGCGAAGGTCAGCATGTCTTCCCAACCTCGGCGTGGGGTCAAATGCGGAGATTACCAAAAGGAGAAACGGTGGGTAAACTCCCCAATTAAGGGGGGCGAACTCCCCAATTGAGGGGGGCGAACTCCCCAATTGAGGGGGGCGAGCTCCCCAATCAAGGGGGGCGAACTCCCCAATCAAGGGGGGCGAACTCCCCAATTGAGGGGGGCGAACTCCCCAATTAAGGGGGGAATGGCTCAAGTAACAAGGTCTGGCTCACACAATACAGTCAGGCTCACACAGCAAGGTTTGGCTCACACAGTAAGGTCTGGCTCGCACAGCAAGGTCTGGCTCACACAGCAAGGTCTGGCTCACACAGCGAGGCTTTTTTTCTGAGACACACATCCACATGGTTTCTACTTGGTCTTTGCATGGTTTCTGTGCAGTTCTAACCATGCCTCCACACAACACACTGAATTCTCTCACTGAATGAAGCATCCCGAAGATGACAGGTCTGCATGTGGGACACTTTCAGACGACCTCCGTCCAATCTCCACCTCCACCTGTCGGGTGAACTCCTTCAAGTCGATGAACGTCTCTCCGTTCTCATACTTGTGGTAGTCAGTCAGGAACAACTCCATCACTTCTGCAAGGCAATCCTCCCTGACAGTCTGGATGGTGGTCTTGGCTTGGTCGAGCAAGGAAAGCGGAGGGAAGACATGGTTCATGCCTTTGATTATCTTTTCCTCCGTGGAGAGGTGCTTCTTGCCGTTGCCCTTGCAGGTGATGATGTCATGAAGGAGACGCAAGTTCTCCATGTCGCACTGACGGAGGCAGGTGTTGACAAAGCCCTCGCCCATCCTCTGGCGAATGATGCTGAGTTCATTTGTTTTCTGCTTGGTCTCCTGCACGAACTCTTTGAAGCACTGTGGGAAGCCCTCCAAATCTGGACTGTCGTCAGACCTGTTGCCTTTGATGTTGACCTTGATGGACTTCCGCAACTCCGCCATTGCATCCTCCCGCTTGAGGTACTTCTTTGTAACACGCCCACGGACACCTCCTTGGACTTTAGGAACCACGCAAAGAGTGCCACCGTTGTTGCAGTAGGAGAAGATGCTCTCGTAATTCGGCACAATGCTCTCACCCATCTTGATGAGGGTGTTCTGCAGGTTGAGAACACCACCAGAGAGAGCGTCAAGCAGATGGAGCATGTCTATGCCAGTGGTCTGCGCGTCGAAGAAGTAACCCACAGTGACGAAGCCATCTTTGGTGGGAATCTTCAAGGACAGGTGGTAAGGCCGAACGACCGCCTCACTACCGTTCAGGTTAGCGCCGTCCAAGTGAAAGAGAGCGGACATAGGTACAGAAGCCAGTGCAACACCAGAAGAACCAGCCTTCTCGTCAAAGGCGAAATCCTCAAGCGGTTCTTCCTGGAGGACTGGGCGAGCATGTGGTTGCTGTTCCTCCTCTGCTTCCTCCTCTGTTTCCTCTTCTGCTTCCTCCTCTGCTTCCTCCTCTGCATCAGACAACACAAAGGGGTTCAAGACAGGACGGCAATGGTTGAGATGGGCAAAGGCAATCACAACGTCGTCCCAGTTGTCCAAGATTGATTGAGCCAAAGTCTGCTTGTTGTCCCTTGCCAACATCTGGAGGTTTGCAGTCCTCATGACGTTTTCCAAGCAATGGCGAGAGCAACTGGTCAAGTTGAGAAGTGTCGGGACGGTCAGGTCAGCGTGAAGGTCACTGTCACAATCCACCACAGGAATGTTGCCAAGGGCGTTGTTGACAACCTTGAGGGTGAGGAAGCCGTTCTTCTTGACAACAACGAGTGCCATTGGGATGTCTTCACAGCTTGACTGATGAAGTGTTCTCAGCTTCCTAAACTCGAGATGTAACAACAAAAAGCAATTGACACAGTTGGTGCACACAATTGACACAGCTGATGCTCTGCATCAAATAGCCTTTTCCACGGTCATGGATGGTCTGTGCCAAAGCCAAGTGAGACATCTCTATTCTAGATGGTGGTGTTGCTTCTACTCACAACGATGCTTTCGGAAGCCATAGAGGAAATCAATCACAAGGCTATGTGGGCTGAACTGTGAGACTTCACTCACTCATCGTCGTCGCTGTCTGTCTCGTCATCTGTGTTCTCATCATCCTCCTCATGGTCCATGCTGACCTGAAGGTTCAAGGGCTGTGGGTAGTTGCCTGTGTTGAAGTTCTCCTCCCACATGATGAACAGCGCCCTCTGGTTCAACAACTCATTCTGGTTGTATAGGAAGGGGCGACCGCTCTTTGCCGTCAGGTTCTTCCCGCTTGGGAGCACCAGACAGATGCTATTCCACTTCTTCTTTTTCTTGCCACTGCCCATGTCAAACTCCTTGCATGCCCTGACTGCCTTCTTACGGAGCCGTCCCAGCGTCTTGGACTTGTCCAGAAAGAGCGTGAGCACCCTGCCTGACGGCGTCACAATCTTGTACCACTCTCGACCACTGCGCTTGTCCTTGTTCTCCTTGTCTTTGATAGCCTTCGCCTTTGCCACTTCTGCCTTGCGAGTGGCCTCTTTCTGAGCCTTCTGACGGATGCCCTGTTCAACTTCCACAGCCTTCTTGATGTCCTCCATCTCATTGATTTTGTCCAGCAAAGCGTTGTGAATCTCTGACAGATTAGCGTCACTGGAGAGGCTCACCGTGCCGAGAAGGTCTTGAGCCATCATCAACTGAGCCAGTGCATCCACCTCTTCGTCAGCTTGCTCTGCTTCCTCTTCTTCTGACTGTTCTGCTTCCTCTTCGGGAACTTCTGGCTGTTTCTCCTGCTCTTTCTGAACATAGCCACCGTCAGTCGTCTTCTTCGGTGACATGATGACAGTTGCCAATGAGTTAAGTCAGGGGCTTACTCAGATACACTACAAAAGGCTGACGGCAAGAAAACTCATAGTCATCTCAGCGAACAAGTCTCTTGCACGGTGAGATTGTTTCCGCTCACAAAATCTGGGCAGCCCGGCAAGACCGAAGATGTTGATGATGATGACGATGCAACGTGGCGGAAGGACGAGGGAGAGAAAGAGAAAACAAATACACCACCAACACCCCAGAACATAATAACTACTAAAAGGGCTAACTCTTTCAAATGAACAAAATGTCGGCCCCCAGCCCAACAATGAACAAGGCGACAATTTACCCAAATGATTACCTTAACGAAAACGATAAATAAGCTCCCTAAAAACCCTCTTTTAAAAACGAATAAGGGGGAACACAGATTTGAGATGAACATAAAAACCAGAACAGGCAACCCTCAACAGACCACCCCCCAGGCCCCCTACTTTTACCATTTTTTCCCCCCCCGTTTTGCCAGGCCCCACCACCCTCCAGTTGAGCTGGCACCTTTCGTAAGGCGTTTGCCCTCGCAAGAGCGCAGTTGCGACCGTACCCGCAAAGGTTGCCATCATTGGGATTTGGGGTCGGTGGTCGTTGCAAACTTGTTAGATGCACCCTCAGGTTTTTATCTGATTCCCATGGTTTGCATTGAGCCTTTGCCAGGCAAAGGCGTTCCCCCGGGGAGGTCTGTGATCCAGGGGTTTGGCCAAGGCACTTGGCGCATGTGGACCCCCACCTGGGCAACTTCCGCTGGGAGGCACAGGGTTTGAGAGGGCGGCCGGCTTTGGGCCTTGGTTTTGTCGGTGAAGTTTCAACGCGGAGCTTTTGACCTCGTTTTCCAAGTTTGGTTTTTCTGCAGAGCCAGGCTTCCAGAAGCTTATTGCCTTGTAGTTTTAGGTGCGTTGGGCGGTGAGCATAGGTTGGACTGCCCGCTCGCAGCGGGTAAGAGCAGAGTAAACATGTAGTCTGCCACCTGTCTTCTCAAAGCCATGCGGAGCGTAGTGCAAATGACAAGCACTGGATCCTCTTGAATATATCGAATGCGGACATTGAAGATTGTCCAGCATGTTGTCGAGATCGCCTTGGAAGTGATTCAAAGGAAGTTGGAGCTTTTCACTCATGTTGTGGGGAGTGCTGGGATTATGGTCTTTACCCGTGGAGCGACAGCAGTTGCCTCCTCCTTGGATCCGCATGTGCTTTGTGCATTGGTCGCAATGAGCATGTTTTAGAGCACCTCTTTGCATCATTGCGATAAAGCTCAGAGCCCGCCGGGCCGGCCTCGGCCGGCTTCAATTCCCCGACGGTGATATTTGGAGCACTCAAAACGTCGCCACTCGAGGGGACCCAAAAAAAGACCCTCCCCCTCAACATATGTTTTACTATTTTACTTCTTTCATATGTTTCACGTTTTACCACTTTTCCCCCTCCCCTCCAGGACGGCACCCTCTGGGTCCTGGACTGGGGCGCCTCTTTGCGCCGCTTCAGCCCCCAGAAGCGCCGTGCGTTGCAGCTCCTCGTACGGCACTTGGCCACCGGCGGCCCTGACGCGTGCGTGGCGCAGGCGGCCGAAGCCTTCGGGGTTGCCGGGGATTCCCCCGCGCAGGCGCCGGGGAGTGGTTGTTTTTGGCTTCGACGTGGGCTCTTTCTCCAAGAAAGGGGGCGCAACGCGGTGGAACCACACAATGCTTTTGAGTCCTTTGATTCTTAATTGCAAAAGCCGGGTGCTTGATTTGGCTAATCGTTGTGAGTGTTGGTGTTCTTTGTTTTGGTGCAACGCGGGCGATATCGTTTGTTGGGAAGGGGAGGGAAGGCTGGTTGGGCGGCAGGGAAGGCCAATGGACGCTTTGTGTTCCATATGTCTTGTCAGTTGATCTGTGCGCCATGTATGCAAAAGGCCAATAGAAATGGAGGCATTGAACATACAAAGGTCTTGAATCAGTTGAATCTGAGTTAGGGGCAGGGGTGCAGATTTGAGGGAGTGTCAAAATTCACGGAAGTTGTTGGGGGTTCAGGCATTTGTTTTGGGGTGACAGTTTTGTCACAATCTCAATCTATCGTCAATCATATGTTTTTGATACCGAGGGCGGGGGCTTGATTCCAAGGCCGAATGTAGAAACAAACTCATGCATCAATTCCTGGTATGGACCCCCTGACATGATGATCAGGTGAAAGGATACGTTACAAGGCAACTGCTTCGTGATGCTTGCAGGAATCCCTATGAAGTGATCAAGTCATGGGCATGCAAATCCCACTTGATATCGCCGATCGCCGGTGATTTGTCAGCGCTATCCAGGTAGCTAGCCTGTGTGGATCCGGGCTAGCGTTCCAGAAGGGTTCCAGAAGGGTGCGAATTCTGTGGGTTTTTGGGGATTCCGCCTGAGCCTTTGCGAACCCTGGATAAGTAAGGCTGGTGGATTGGTAGGGGGGGGTGTTGGTCGCTGTGAAGGATTCCCACAAAAAGAGAGAGGAAGTGAATTGACACCTTCTTATTCATCAACCCCAGCGTTTCTTCATTTGGGCTTCCTTGAAATCCCAGACACTCCATGTAGTTAGTCTTCAACGTTTGACCCATTTTGAGGGTCAATGGTGGGTATGTCTGGGAATGGGCACCTGCCCCTGTCAATCAACCCAGCCTTTATTCATTTGGGCCACAATTAAAACCCGGGCAAGTGAAGGTTAGTAAGGGACGATCCCAGCCATAAATAGCTGCGACCGCCTTCTTAGTTCTTTACATGGTTCTGGGTCGACCATTTGTGTACCGGGTTTTGATTGTGACTCATTTGGGCCTGCCAATGGGAAACCTCACCGAGAGGAAACCGAGAGTCGACCTCAGGTGGCGCAAGTGATCCGAGGGCTCTTCAATGCCAGCAGCAACCACGCGGCCCAAGACTCCCTGCAGGAGGCGGCCTCGCAGGACCTGCTGAGACACATCGACCAGGAGGCGCGAAAGCACACCGCGCACGTGTGACGCGTGTGATGTCGGAGCCCAAAAGCCCAGAAGTAGGTCCAGGTGGTTTGGGTCCTGCTGGGCTTGGCAAGAGTAGGGTCCTTGGAATTGGTGTGAAATAGGTGGGCGCCGCTCACTTGGGTGTAAAAAGGCACCCGTTTTTGCTCGTCGTTCGGTGTGGCTGACCTCCCTACTTTTTGGCCTTTTTGTGCTGAAGGGAAACAAAGATAGACTAGCCATCCGATTTCAGCAAACTTACCAGGAAATGGTTGCCATCTATTTCACTTTGGCTTTGCTCGGCTTCGGATGAGTAGAAGGAAGCCTAACAAGGGATTCTTCAGAAAAGGAGATGTGAGATGTCCCTGTATTTTGTCGGCGAGGTCCGTTGTGATGTTCAGTTAGATCAAGCACTTGTGTGAAGCTAGCCGGCGAGAGCTGTTGCCCTAGTTCCGCTTGGAACGTTCTAAGCTTGTTTTCCCACTACCCGGTACCGATTCCCTTCTGCGTAGAAATTCGTTTTGGGGGGACCCCACTGGAGGTGGTGCCGGTGGTTCGCTGCCTCGCCATCTTGGGCGGGAAGCTGGGCTTGAAGAGGCTCAGAGTAGAGTGGCACCTTCTGTGGGAATCGGTTTCCAGATGGGTGTGTGTGTGTTGTTTGAGGCTACTCGTACCTTTTTGTCAGGTAAATTCGCATTGGTGGTTCGGATTGGCGGTTTAACTTCTGGCTTTTGTAGACGGTGGGCAGCATGTAGGGAACTCCATGTCCACCAACCATTTAGAATTGGATCCCTTTTAGAAGTCACAGCCATGCAAAGTCGGGTCAATTCAAAAAGGGGGTTTGTTTTTCCTGCCGGGGGGGGGGTCCCAAACTAGTCGACCAACCAATGCTAATCAGTCACCAAAAAAGTGGTTTGGCTCACCCCTGTCGGGAGACTGACTATGTTTCTTTGCATCCCCCAAGCTAACCCAAGCTTCCTAGTGATAAGCATCTCGCTCTCGGGTAAGCTTGGCAAGCCTTGGCCAAGGGCCTGCAAGGGCCATGCCTGAGGCTGTCTTGTGAGTTCTGCAACTCCCCCCTATGCCCGGCAAGCAGCTCCAAGCAGCGTTTCGTTCCTTGGTGTTTGGTTCTTCCAACAGGTTTTAACCTTTGCGCACGTCCAAAGTCAAGCTTCATCGGCCGAAGTGGTAGGTCAAGAGGAATCCCTGAAACTTTCCCAGGAAACCCCCAGCTGATCCGTGACTTTTGCTGAAGGTGTCAAGGATCACCCCAGTTTTCTTGGTGGTTCCTAGGGTTTAGTGGGGGGGGGTTGAGCCCACTGAAAGCAAAACTTTTAGCCAGGGATTTGAGGACGGCCCAGTTGTGACAACCCACTAGCCAGGTTCGTTTTTCGCTGCCTTGCCAGCAACAAGCATGGTGGCACGGTGTTTTTCAGGCGAAGTGCTAGTCAAATGCAAGCCAGTCCCACGGTGCAGAGCGGACTGCGAGTCGGGAGAGACATTCGGACCTCCACGCCTTGAAGGTTCCGACAAGTCTTGATCTTTCCTGGGAACCTCTTGGAGCATGTTGAAGCGCAAGTGAAGCCACCAGAAGACTTCAACTTCAGGGACAAACTCGTGCTGTCCATATGTGCCAGCCATAGCATCAAGTTTGAGCACTCATATGGATTTGTCGAGTTTCGCCCAAGGATCCTGAAGATGATGCAGCAGCAAATCCGCGAGGAGCATCACCACGACATCCCGTTGTCCTTGGCTTTCTTGTGGGCTCCCTTCGCGGAGTCTTGAGCGTAGCCAGGCACTGTCCTGACCTCTGCAGCGAAGCTTCGTGCGAATTCAGGCTGCGCACTGTACGGGCAGCTCGCCGGTTTCACTGTTTCGTCAGCTCTCCAAAAGTAAAGCACAGATTTTGGGCGCGGCGCAAAGTGACGGAGTGTATCTGTTGGTGTCCTTCTGATATCGGTTGCAATGTGAAGAGGGGCAGTCAAGTTTAACGATAGCTGCCTTGGAGGGTCTCTGCTGTTCCCTGGACATGGACCCCTCAAAACTCAAAACCTCAGTTCACGGCGTTCCCTTTAGCAGAATTGTTGGGTTCCGGGTTCATCTTTCAAGTACCTCAGGCACTCGAACATGCAAGTTATTGTTTAGGGACTGATGGCCAAGCCGGCAGACGCCTGTCCGGATACGAACACATGACTTGTGCAAACGCTTTTGCAAGACGTGCGCTACGTATATTCATGTTGTATATTGTTTGTGGGAATGTCTTTGTGAGATACAATATACGTTCGAGCTCCTCTTCAACATCCTGTGTGGGTCAGCTTACCATTGCTTTCCTTCACATAGACAGTAGCTAGAGGAGAAATGCCAGCTGTGCCAGGATAATTCCACATCTCCTTCGTCGTGTCCTTGTGTTGAACCCAAGGATAATCTGAGTTGATTGCTCGCCTCAAGCCGTACGTTTGTTGCATTGGGCACCCACCCATGTGCCCCATGTTCCTTTTGAGAACGCGCTCGGATCAAAGAAGCAACTCCGAGTCTCTGCCTACAGTCCGGAATTGGCCCTGGGCTTTGCAGAACCTATACACTTGGGTCGGGCTGAGGATGCCTGGGTCAACCACTGACCTGGGTGTTGCCCTTTTGAATGGCGCTCATGCTGAAGTGTCACGAGCTCGGGGGCCAATGAGCTGCAAATGGAAGTTGTATCGACCCCTCACTTTGAGTGCGAACTGACACGGTCTGGCCATTGAGCCTCGCGCCTGGCAGGCTGCTGGCACCTTTGGCCCCTCTAGGCATGGACGGGGCTGGCTGAGAGAATATTCGAAGTGGCCTCGGTTTCATGAGTCTCTTCAGCAAAATAGTGTGACATAGTGTGACATAAAGGTTTCGGTGAAGGTTCTTGATATACTTGCAGGGTTCTTTGTTCCAGTTTTTCTGAATCGTCATTTTGCCCACCCTGACGCCCTCGGATTGCTTTGAAAGCTAGGCCCCTGGGGTCCAAGCTGACGCTTCGAGTGCTTCGACGGATTGGGAGGTTGGGCGTTTCCAACAGCGCCCCTAGCTTCCCACTTGTCCCGAAACATGTCGCTCTGCTTTGCCGGCAGACAACATCACCCAGGACAGTTGGCAAGTGGAGAAGTGGATGATCTTGTTGTCGGGAAACATTTTACATTTTACATATTTGCTGGTTTTTGTCTGGGAACCTTTTACATATTTGCTTATTGTGGTTTAGTGGGAAATCTCCTCTTAACTGCTATTGTTATTTTTGTTGCTCCCTTCCAACGTCAACCAAGTACAAAGTATACGTAATGCCAGGGGCCCGGACTAGCAGCGATTTGAAGTCTGGTATCTGGAATCCGCAGAAGAGCCCGCACTTCCGGAATTCCAGGTAAATTGCCCATGTTCCGTGGACAATGTGCGGCAAGACCGTGGAACTGACCTCCCACTGTCTTAAGTAGGGGATCTTGGGGAGCTGCTTTTTGTCTTTGGCAGCATGAGCCCAGCATGCCCCCTACTACACAAGGACGTTCGTCCGCAGGTGTTGAAAAGCACGCCAGCATTTCGAGCCTCTCTTGTGTCAATGTATCCTCAGAAAGGCCAAACTATAGTTCTCACTGGCATTTTGGCTCCACGGTTTGTTCTTCGAGTTGTTTTGGCTGTTTCCCTGTCGCACGGATTGGGATTGGGTCCTCCCCCAGCTTTGAACATTCCAGTTCACGTTTCGGATTATTTCGAGTGAACTTGAGTCTCCTGCAGGTATCGCCTCCCTTCGGCGGGTGAACCGCGCCGGATTTTCCTCCCGGATGATGCGGAGGGCGTGGTTTGGCAAGAGCAACAAGGAGAAGTTCGAGAGCAGACTGGCGGCAAAAACTCACTTTCTGAATGTCAGCGACTGACATTCTTTGGGATGAAGAAATTCGATCCCTTTGCCCGGGAGGTCGCACTAGCTCAGTTTTGCTTGGTATCTTAACCTGGTTCCCTTTCTTGACAGGCATGCACATGGGTGTGACTCTGGGTCCCGAGTTCAACATGCCAAGTTCAACACGCCCTGACCCACATTGAACCACCATCCATAGAGAGATTCATAGCCAAGGCTGAGGTTCACCAGTTTACTGGTGTCCAGGCTGCCCGCTTGCCAAACACCGTGGTTTTTCTAGCCAAGAGCTTTTGCTTTCGGGCTCGCAAGATGTGATGACTTGGTCCATTGGTATTGACTGGGATTTTGCATCACCTCTCTAATCATTTTCTAGGCCAGTAGATCCAGTCTTGGTCACGGCCAACGTTTGGTTCGGGTATTTCTGTGATTTCGCCCATGCCCAACCCATGGTTTAGGTGTTATGTGTTTTTCTCTGCCTGATTTCAATATATGGCCATTCTTCGTTTTTGGGGAACCCCTGAAAAAAGTGACATTTTATGGACATGACCAAACAAAACCGGAGTCACGGCGCTTCCGAGACTACTTGGCGCAGTGCAGCGGCTACACCGAGAGGGACTTGGCATGCCTGCCGCCGCGCTGGCGGACGCTGCTGAAAGGGACCCCGAAGGGGGGGAATCGAAGCCGTGGGGCCTCTCGTATGGCCTTTTTGAACTGCCTGGGCCCGCGACATTCGCCGAAATATGTTTTTTTTGTTGAATCGAAAGTCATGGGGTAAACTTCTCTTGTTTTCAAAAACATTAAAACAAAAAAAAGGGAAAAAAAACATGTGATTGCCCCCAAGGGGGGAACTTCAACCTTTTTTGGGTAGAAGGTCCAGGTACCGCTGTCTAGTAGCGGTAATTGGGAGTTTGGAGTTTTGGAGTTTGCTTTAAGGCGTTGCTTTGAGGTTTGCTCGTATGCTTGGAGTGGGGCGCAGGGATTGGCAGACACTTCGTGCGCATGTTGTTCGTCGGCATGGCTGCCCCTGTTGGTGTAAATTCAAGTAATGGGGACGGGGACACTGAAACAGACCTGTAGTAAATAATGTCAACTCACTTTGCGAAAGTGTGTCACAACTGAGTGTTGTAGAGTTGTAGCAAGGCAATTGCTGGCCCAATGTTGCAGTCGCTGCCGCTTTGATGTCTATCCTTTTTGGGATCCAAAGATGTGTTTGAAGGCGCACACACACACAGACACAGACACACACACACACACAGACACACACAGACACACACACAGACACACACACAGACACACACACAGACACACACACAGACACACACACACACCCACACACGCACCCACATGCACACACAGACAGACACAGACAGACACAGACAGACAGACAGACAGACAGACAGACAGACAGACAGACAGACAGACAGACAGACAGACAGACAGACAGACAGACAGACAGACAGACAGACAGACAGACAGACAGACAGACAGACAGACAGACAGACAGACAGACACACAGACACACAGACACACAGACACACAGACACACAGACACACAGACACACAGACACACAGACACACAGACACACAGACACACAGACACACAGACACACAGACACACAGACACACAGACACACAGACACACAGACACACAGACACACACACAGACACACAGACACACAGACACACAGACACACAGACACACAGACACACAGACACACAGACACACAGACACACAGACACACAGACACACAGACACACAGACACACAGACACACAGACACACACACACAGACACACAGACACACACACACAGACACACAGACACACAGACACACAGACACACAGACACACAGACACACAGACACACAGACACACAGACACACAGACACACAGACACACAGACACACAGACACACAGACACACAGACACACAGACACACAGACACACAGACACACACAGACAGACACACAGACACACACACAACACACACACACATAGACACACACACACACAACACACACACACAGACACACACCCACAGACAGACACAACAGACACACACCAGACGGACACACAACAGACAGACACACACAGACAGACACACACAGACAGACACACACAGACAGACACACACAGACACACACAGACACACACAGACACACACAGACACACACAGACACACACAGACACACACAGACCCACACACACACACACAGACACACACAGACACACACAGACACACACAGACACACACACCGCCAGTGTGTTGGGCCTAAAATCCTTTTTGTGAACATACCCCCAGGCGGTGGTATTGAGTAACGGCTAGTTGCTCGGTCAGCGTAAGACCTGGTCGCACCACCCAAGTTGGGCGGGTTCAAATCCGACCAGGTACCTTTGGGACCGCACTAAGCCGTCCCGTGGAAACCTCAAAAACCGTGCGACTGTGAACATACCCCCACCGGAAACAAATAGCAACCGCATACGGGGTTTTCTTAATATTTCTTAGGTCTTCTGCACGCATTGTACATTCTGCGGACTAACTCAATGCCCACACTGAATATCGGCTAACTAATGTATCAGCAGGAAGGTCATAAGGAACATGCCCTTCGTCCCTAGGTTGGTTTGCTGCATCGGTTGGCTTGCCCGAATTCGTCTCCACGCCTCAAGGTTTGCGTATTCTGTCACCTGAAGGTCTGCGACCGCTTTGAGCTCCTGCCATGGTTTTCGGTAGACATTTGATTATCAGACGTTTTGACTGCTCAGGGGTTCCACTTTGGTGCGGATGCCTTTTCTTGCCGTCGAATCGTTGCTGACATTCCCCCAGTTTAAGGCACGGATACCCAATTCGGGATTGTCAAGCCTCTGCTTTGAGCAGCCCAGTAGGTTGAGCAACAAGAAGGATCATGCACCATGACCTAATCGAATCTCGGGAAGATTGAAAGATCTGATTTGCGGGTCTGATGCAGCAGAACATTGAGGAGACTCCCGCGGATGTTTTGAAAACCAACCTTACGGAGTCTTGATAGATCCCGTACCCCGCAGCTTGCCAGTCACCCGCAGGATCAAAGCAGGGCTGTGCATCCCTTCGCTGGTGAAGGCAGTGAAGATCCTCTATGCAGCTTGGAGTGAAGATGGCGCTTGTTGGTTGGTGGGCCAGTGGGTTCGATAGACTCGTATGATTTGGCTTGGCTTGGCTGCTATATAGTTGTGTGCTTGCTTGCTTGCTTGCTTGCTTGCTTGCTTGCTTGCTGGCTGGCTGGCTGGCTGGCTGGCTGGCTGGCTGGCTGGCTGGCTGGCTGGCTGGCTGGCTGGCTGGCTGGCTGGCTGCTTGCTGGCTTGCTGGCTTGCTGGCTTGCTGGCTTGCTGGCTTGCTGGCTTGCTGGCCTGCTGGCTTGCTGGCTTGCTGGCTTGCTGGCTTGCTGGCTTGCTGGCCTGCTGGCTTGCTGGCTTGCTGGCTTGCTTCTTCGGTTGGAGCCCATGTGTTTCCTAGAATCTCTGGTTTTTCATTCAGCTTCCCATTGACGCCTTGCAAAGCACACTCAAAACGAGGAGCGCCGACAATCTGAGGAATCCTTGCAAAAGATGGATGTGACAGAAGGGCTCTTAGTCTTTATCATGGAAGCTGCTTTTGCGTGATTGACAACCACTTCATTTGAGCAAATATCCAGGACTTTACGACTCATGACTCCTGCAGGCAGCTCTGTTTGTCTGTTAGGGACTCACTGTGCTTATGCGATGGGCATCTTCCTGAAGTTGCCCTGACTCAAGCATCACACATTCACGTTCACGACTTACCCACGGAGAGACTGCTGTGTGGGTCAGAGCTTGTCAATCGGAATGGGATTGCTGGATTGTGTTTCCAAGGATGACATCCTGCCCCTGCGCATGGGGGCGGACCTGGTCTCCAGACAACTGGACCAGAAGGTGCTTGAGGCGGGCGTTTCGCTTTCGGAAACCAAAAGGAAGCAGAGGCTTTGGTCTTGGGTTCAGCACAAGCTCCATGCGCACCTTTGAACCATTTTTTTACTAGCGGGCGTTTTGTTTGCATTTCACTCTTCAGAAACTGGGCAAACTGGTCAAACCATTTGTTGCCCGTCCCCAACTTTGACAATAACGCAAAAAAACTAGTCGTTCCCATGGTGTTATCTTTTCACCCCGAGATTCCCTCGGGATTAAATTATAGGTCTGGTGAAAACATGGGAACAAGGGAAACCGGCCAGTCTTGGGGTGCCATACCTTTTATGCATCCAACTTTACATCCAACTTCATTCCTGGTAGAACACTTAAGCTCTGCGATGTTTGAGGGGGAGTTGCTGCTGTTTCACATGGAGAAAAACATCCTCTCCCTGGACTCCCACAATCCATGCGGGGGTGGAATCCCGGGTCCAAACATTGCCGGTAAGATTGCGCTGCTGTTTGATTCGTGGACGTGTAGGATTCCCTTGGCGCGAGGCTGAGCATATTCTTTTCTCTGAACACATTCTCGGCGTATTACGGCAAAGGCTTTGCGACTTCACCCATGATTCAGGCTCCTTACTGACAGAACCTTAAACTAGGCTTGATATTTAGTTAGAATTCACCCAGTAACCGGAGGTGTTTCAGAGACCCAGCTAGGTGACAAAATCGGGGGTGAGAGGCGTGTGAGTCATGAAACAAGACGTCACCTTAGTGACTCAAGCGAGCTCGCAAGTGTTGCTATTAGGGGGTGTCGCTGTCTTGAACTCGTAAGCTGCAACGTTTATATCATGATTGAAAACATCCCTTTACGTACTTATCTTTCTATTCACGCTTGGTGCATCAGCTGTCGGGTATTGGCCTGTTGGAGCAGCCCGAAGCAAGACAGGCAGCCGATTCTGCAGCCGAGGCGACCAATCGCATCGGGCAAGATATTCCAGATAGCAACTTGGCCGGGTGAACGGGATCAATTGTGCGGTTCCACTTGGGACATCAGGGTAAGAGGAATGTCAGCGGTGCTTCTGTTGTGCCAGAATACCAATGTACAACCCAACAGTGACCTAAGTAGCATCGACATGATCTGTACAGCTGCATATATGGGGCCAGCTCAAACAGATGTTTGACGCTATTTGATTTGATGTAGGTTGGTACATGCAATCACAACCCCTCAGGAAGACACACACACACACATACACCAAAGAACACATCCGCCAGCAAGTTGGCTGAAGAAGGAATCCTCCTCCTTCTTGGCTGGACGCTGGGCAACTGATATCTGAGAGTACTGTCTACGGTTCCTTTGGAGTCCCGGGAGTCGGCGGCAGACCACCGAGACGGGTCTAAGTGGCCGAAGCAAAATTGTCCTTCCCGTTCGGGTGCCTTAGACATCGCCTTTTGGGCCACAGGGAACTATAGTTTGTAGAGGGGAACAGTTTTCAGGCAGGCTCAGGGAAGAGCCGCACAGGGAAGAGCCGGCACCATGACGTTTGGCCTTGGAAAATGCCACTCGCTGCGCCTTCTACAGCTATAGCTTCCCCTTTTCGGCTTCTGACTGGTTTAGATCTCACTTTCTGGCCAATGTGCAGGGAGTTTCCTCTAAATGGGTTGATATTTTAACTGAAAAATCCATGTCACCCATCAAACAACCCTGCACTTCCCTCTGTTGTATTGTCCCCCTGCTTTTCATCCACCAAGCCACCGACCTGCTGCAGCTACTCGGCGACGCGGCTCCAGGTCAGCTGGTGGCGCACCGAGAGCTCTTCGACACTTTGGATGCCGATGGCTCCGGCACCATCGGCAAGCAGGCGAAGTCACGAGCCCCGATGTGTTTTCATGGGAAATCAACCATGCCTGCGATGTTTTATGACGAGCTCACCCGTATGTTGCGGTCAGCTGTCTGAATTCTGCAATGCAAGGGAAAACCTTCGAGATCAATCATGGCCCTTGAGGGATCCCCAAGTAAAGGATCTTTACCATGGACGTGGCTCACCGAAAGGAAAGGAAAGGGATCCCTTATTTCAGGCTTCGAATCATTGTAAAATGTGCGGAAAGATGGCACAATAAACAAGCACCATTCCCTCAAATATTGTTGGGTGACAGATGACACATTTCCCTATGATTGTTTACAGTGTCATGCTCTTTACCTACCAAGGGAAGTTGCGCCATCTACTTTCAAGCTGGTCTAAGGATCAGTACACGTGCACCATAATCCAGCCCAACATGTTTGGTTGGGTGCGAAAGCTGAGGTCGCTTGGGTCGTGGGAGGAGGAGTAAATTTGAGGCCAATTGGTTGTATGACAAGGCCATGGAAGCAACGAGCGTTTGTAGTCTGGAAACGCGTTTGTGTTTGTTTAGGGCAGGTTCGATTATTAGAAGGTTGGGTTGGTGACATGTCCGACCATATGGCTTTTGGCTCGGTGCGTTGGGGAAACCAGGTCCGTTCTGTCAGGCAGAGACTTTGCGCCACTTCAAGTACCACCGTTCTGCAAAGGTGCACGAAGATCCTTGTTTTGCTTTGTATCCCTTGAACCCATCCACCCTCTGAGATGTGAACATGGATATGTCGTTGGCAGAGCAGTGACGCTGTTTGGTTCTCGCTTTCAAGGCAGCGCACAAGCGCCTTGTCCCCTCATTGAAGCAGGTCGATTGACATGGGTGTGGACGAGGTGCTCTCCTTTACCTTTACCATTCCAACAAAAATGCTTGGCTTTGTTGGCTCTATGATTTGCAGGGGCCGGGATCCACAATTTTGGGTTTGGGGATTTCCATGACCGAAGCGTTAACACGCGAGCTGCTTCGAGGAGTTGGAGGCCATCAACTCAGCCGTGCTTTTGGGCACCTCGGCGAGTTTCCGACACACAGGTCTCGAACACAGCGGTTTTTTTCTTCAGGTCCGGTCGGGAAGCAAAGCTGCGGCTAAGACAAGGACAATCCGCAAGCAAAGCGGTTCAAAGGGTGGTAGGAACTTTCTGGGCAATCAAGGTTGCGGCGTTGGCGACATGGAACGGCTGTGTCTTGAACCAAAGTAAAAGCAGGAACCGACCCCTTTACAACGTGGTTGTATTCCTTCATGTCGAACTCATGAAGCATGAAACACATAAGGTAACTTTAGAGCCTCCGGCTCAGTCCGCCGACATTGTCCTCTCCCTTTTCTCCTTCTTCCTCTCTCCCTTGTCTCCCTCGTGTGTTCTGTCGTCCTCTCTCCCTCCCTCCCCCTGCTCCCCATCCTCCCCGTCCCCCCAAGCCTCTCTCTCCTCAATCTCAATCTCCCTCTCTCTGTCTCTCTCTCTCTCTCTCTCTCTCTCTCTGTCTCTCTCTCTCTCTCTCTCTCTCTGTTTCTCTGTCTCCTTTCTGTCTCCCTGTCTCCTTCCTGTCCACGCCCCTCTACAGAAAAAGGGTACCCTAATTCGAACCTCTCTACTCTCTCACTTTCTCGCTCTTTCTCTCTGTCTCTCTGTCTCCCTCTCTGTCTTTCTGTGTCTCTCTTTCTCAGTCTCTCTCTTTCTCTCTCTCTCTCTCTCTCTGTCTGTCTCTTTCTCTGTTTCTCTGATTCTGGCTCTGTCTCTGGCTCTGTCTCTGTCTCTCTCTCTCTCTCTTTCTCACTCTCTGTGTCTCGCTCTTTCTCTCTCGCTCTCTCTCTCTCTCTCTCTCTCTGTCTCTCTCTCTCTCCCTCTCTCTCTCTCTCTCCCCCCTGAGTTGCCTCGATGTGCGGGCACTGCCCCTTCATGATCCTGAACTGTCATCTCACTACTGGCTTTGCCCTTGATTTCCCCTTCATGTCCTTTTCACGTTTCCCATGACGTCCTGGTCATGTCCCTTCCATGCCTTTCAACTCCCCCTTCATGTCCCTGACATTTTCTCGGTATGTCCGCTTCATTTTCCATGTATGTCCCGTTCTTTCGTTGCGAGTCATTTCCCTACATCTCCCGTCGTGCCGATTGGTTTCCTTGTGCTTTGTTTCTCTTTCATTCCCCCTGCGCTCCCCTTGTTGTCATTTCTGTCCCTTGCATGTCCTTTCAGTTCCCCTTTGTTTCCCTTTCGTTTCCCGCTGCTTTCCTGTCATGTCGACTTCCTATTTCCTTCCCTTATTTCCTTGCACTTCCTTGCATTTCTCCTTTGCTCCCCAATATTTCCCGCAAAAAGGTTTTTCCAGCGTTTTCGCAATCAGGACGTCCAAAAACACAGAGTTTTTCCAGATTTTCGGCAAAAGGAGGCAGGAACCCCAAACCAGCAAAGAGCCGGCACGGGGAATCGAGCCTGGGACCCCTGGTTTCTCCGCGAAGACTACGTTTAGTGGAACGTCATCAAATTGCCGCGCGGTCCGTGGGGGGCGGGGTGGGGGGGGGCACGTATCAGACGTCGGGTGGGGGGGGGTTAGGGGGGGGGTTATCCTCTATCCTCTCTTAGGTGTCCGACACGCCGAGCAATGTCGGCGGACATACACTACTCATTGACCAAATCGCTTCAATGAATCCTGAAACCACAGACGTGGAGCGTGGTTATGACTGCAAGGGTGTTCTTGTTTGGTGCTTGATTCTCATGGTCGCCATGTGCACGACTCGTGCACTGCCAACGCAGTGGCGAGGATGTGTCCGGCAAGGGCCCGTTGGGCCCGTTGGGCAAGGAAGCCCAAAGGACGCCAAGCGTTTGGAATGGCCATAGCGTTTTGACAGTCCCTAGTAGACGTATGGGCAAAGTTACTACAGCATAGGATTTCTGGGAAGACCCTTTTCAGTTCGGCAGCCATGAACGGTTTAGACGTGCCCCGTGTCGGTTTCTTAGATGTGAAACCAGCAAGCACCACTCGTATCCGACTGGCTCAACTTTGGCTGGGGAAATTTGGTATACACCAATGCTGTATGCGTGGAAAGACAACCCTATCCAAACTGGCACAAATTGTGTACACCAGGGATGAGTTGGTGCCTCAATGTTGCAAGTCAACCAACCGCAAGCTCTGGACAAAACGCTGGGTTTCTCTTGTTCCCTACATTGAGGGAATCCACCGCACCCGCTCCAGAGAGATGTACGTTCCATTGATCTCTCGGTTCCACGTACCTGAGAGTATATAAAGGGTCATGTCGAAATATATCCTAAGCAAGCACTTGGACCCTTCGGGGAGTCCAAGCGCGCCATTTTGGACTGGCAAGGTCCTGGGGGGCAAAAGCTGCACGACTCCGTGAACGAGCGCCTGAGCAAGGCGCCAGTGTCGAGTTGGGGGGGGGCTGCTTCCTCTTCTCGATTCCCAACGATACGGGCTATACCTTTAGACGACGCTATGTCTTGGAATTTAGAAGGGTTTATAGTTCGAGGTTTAAGTCTTAGCAGGGATCAACGAACTACTACGGTCATGATTTGATGATTTGCGAGCCCAGGAAGCTGTGACGCGCCAGCGGTAAGGACAAGTATGTCCTCAAACCACGTGTATCAGCTAGGTATGCAATCCGTGTTTCTTCACTCGGCTCTTGACAAATGTCTAAGTTGGCAGTGTTTTAATCGTTGGTGTTTGTGTAGCGGGGCAAATGCGAGGCCCCCTATGTTTCAAGTCGAGTCTCCGGTTTCTTGGCACATTTCGTGTGCAAGAGCAGGGCCAGAAGACAAGGATGGAGGGTTTTCGCAGCACACGGATTGACGACGAACCAGCGCACAGGAATGTGCTAACCTATCTCCTTGCTTACAACTTGGGCCATGGTGAGCCCCATTTTGTGGGAGGGGAGGGGAGGGAATCACCCCATTTTGCCACCGGGGCGTGAGAGATGGGTTCTGCATCGTTTTCTCAGGTACCCATTCCGCACCTTTTTGAGACGGGTTTCTTCTTTTTCAAGGTCAGGCACAGATTTGCCTGGCCCTTTCCCCGTCAGTTGGTCACGGCCCTGTCCGACGACTGCGACGAGATCGCGCCTCGCCTCTGAAATTTAAAGCTTCTAGCCGCCTGCTGCCATGACCAACAAAACGAAGAAGTCTGTTTCCTACTGTGGGATGGACACATGTTCGTTCGCACCACGATATTGAAACCAACACGTTTGTTGGTATTTACTGGGGAATCGGATCATTCCCTTGTGTTTCTTAGGTATTGCGAAGTGGATTTCGTCCATCCACAGTGTGGAGAACCTTGTTCCCGCATCCAGAGCTGGATGTCACCTGCACTTCTTGGGCTTGTCAGCCAATGCCTAGAAAGCGAGCTTGTGGGCGTTGAAGGGAAGCCAACACCATTTCAGTGAGTGTGCATTTAACGGTAGGCAGGACAATAGAAATGTGTCTGTCTCAATTCAAAGAAAAGAGCCCGTTTTTGGATAGTTTTAGAGTTTAGACCTCCCATATCTTAGAGGGTAGCCACTGCCCCCACAAGTTCAGTGCTCTCCTTTCCAGTTGTCCTTTCGTTTGAGTGATTTTTGCCTTCTAACCAATCCTGCAAGCACGCACGCAAGCACGTGAGCAAGCATCCAGCCAGCCAACCAACCAACCAACCAGTCCAAAAGAGTCAACGAAGCAAAGAACGTGTAAGGTGCGATTCCCCTTGCTTCAAAATCCGCCAACCAACAGCGCCGCCGTGGCCATCTGATCATTTGGGAGAAAGGCATAGACCGTGCAGAGCTTCTTCTGACAGGTTTTCGACTTTGTCATGTTGGCCTCGTGACCCGTTTTCGGACAGAAGACCATGACACCAGCTATTGCAAGGGTCAACTTGATTTTTGTCATTGCCGATTGTGGCCCACCTGATCGATTAGAGCCGCAACTGAATATCGACGCGCACACCTCACATGCACAACGGGCTCTTGGAAAACCCAGGAATGCCCCATCAAGTCAATTTTTATGCCGCATTCGGCTTACTTACGTCACCTTGGCTCCATCATGGAGGCTTAGCCGACAGACTGTTGGCTTCGAAGCCACGGCTCCTTGCTTCCGCCCTTTTGCCAATTTAGATTGGGTTTGATCGTGATATGTTCTGAATTCTTGGATCCGGGCGATGATCTTGCTGCACGTCCCCCGAAACTTAACTTTGAGAAGATTATATTGGCGTTCTTTTTGACAGGGTCGCAGAGAAGCTTTGACACATGACCAAACCGGACCAAAGCACAAAGATGTGTTCTACCCAAAATTATCTCTACCAACTTGTGCGCGGGTCCCTCAACAAATTACCCGGGTTTCACCCTCAGGACTTCCCGGAGTTCTTAGAAGGAGCTGGGCGCCTGCTTTGCAACCCGGCCTGTGCGAGGCAGCCGAAGCCAAGCAGGCACTCCCATAGACATGGCCTGCGTTTTTGAAACCAGGCTATCCGCAAAAACACGGTTGCGCTGATGTGTTTCATGGAACACAACGCAAAATAGACTCACTCCGGATCCTGAGCTGTGCCCACATGGGGTTTGTCATGTGATGTTGTTTTTGTTTGCGCTAGTATGTGCTAGTGCTAACACCTCGAGTCTTCAATAAGAACTACAGAAACCAGGAAATATTTTGAAATAGATCAACCAGCATATTTTTCGTGCCCTTCAACCAAGGGCACTTCACGTGTTTTTGAATCGAGGCCGCTTGAGGCCTTATCGGCGCCCTAAGTGCCCCTTTGATTCGTTTGCTAAGTGTCCTTTGTGGCTTGATAGAGGTTGGGATATTGTTGAAATCGAACAGCTACCTGTGTCGAAGTGTGACAACTGCAACATTTGATTGGGGCTGACCCGGAATGGCCCGAACATGGCGTTTTGAGTGTCAAAGCGTGTCATTTGAGTGTCAGTGGGGGTGCGAATCGAGGTCACTTGCCCCTTGAAAGGTCACTTCCGCTAGTGTCGGTCCCCCCTGCGTGAGTGTCATTCGCGTGTCGCTGCGGCTCGATTGGCCTAGCGTCGGTCCCCCCCCGTGTGAACGCTGCGGCTCGATTTGCCCAGACTGGGGAGGGATCTGCTGGGGAGGGCAACCCTGAGGGTCTAAGTGCCTCTGAGTGGCTTAATTAGGCGACCTCTTTGATTTAGGACTAAGTTACCTTATTTTCAAAATGGATCATAGCACCCAAACAATTAATCGAGGCCACTGAAAAGAAGCTGGAAGTAGAATTCTACCTTACCTTGAGTTTCTCTGTGTTGTTTGCTCTATTGAAGCGGCAGGCCAATTAGAGGAAACAAGATGTTCTTTCCTTATTAGATTCCAGCTAAGACACTATAGTTAAACTGCATGGAAAACCATATTTGAAAAGGATGTCCTATTTGGATGTTAGCTTATGATAAACACAATTATACTGAGTTATGTTTGTATTTATATTCTATGTTTTTTTCATCAAACTCCTTTGGATATCAACTCCCAAATAGATTCTAACTTAAGATCGGCATCCTACTTGACATGGTTCCTGAATCGTTGAACTCCTGACAGGACCTGTTGACTTCTAGTTGAATCCAAGCAACCCACAGGTTTGCACAGCTCCCATTCGGAGTTGGGTTCACCGTCCCCATGGAGTTCAGCTCGTTGCCGTGGCATGTCTTTGAGAGGCTCCGCCGTCCATCCCAGTGTTTTGGCCGAAAAAGAAAAGGAAAAAGGAACTCATATTGAAGGGCCAATTTGTTGCTTGATTGCCATTTTTTGTTTGGACATGTGTTTTGAACCTTTTGCTTGTTTGTTTCTTTGGACATCTGTCGTTCGAGAGCGAGCGCCGCCGTGTTTTGGCCGAACTCAAGCGGCACGGAATGGCCTGGGCTTCCAATGTAGCACACGCTCAAATATGCTAAACATAGACATGGGGGGTGATCAATATGCCTGGCTCTGAAATGACCATAGGTAGCTCTTCCCATTTGGGAAATAGTGGTTTTCCCCAAGGGTCATCCCATGTTCGTCGGACCTATTGATCAACCCACATATGCCAAACAGAGTTAGATAGACGTATATCTCGGCTCAAGCCGTGATGTCCGCCAGCTTGCGAAACTTGTCTTGGAGTTGAAGCCGCAGCTTCTGGGGCCAAAGACTTTTGAGTGAAAGGCCTGAAGAGGAGAGTGGATTGTTGCGAAATCCGCTTGCACGAAGTGACACCACGGTTAAAGCCATTTGTTTGTTGGTATTTCATTCAAGGGTTTTTGAACGGTGCGAACTGGATTTCGCAATCCACAACAGTATCAAACGTCTCGGGCTTTAAAACAGACATGTTCCACCGTAAGGCGAAGACACGGGGGAGCCCCTGACGGCGGAGCAGATTCTCGGCTGAGTCCGACCACTTTCGAGTTTTCCTTTTGGCCTGCGGATGCTCCGTTTTGTTTCAAACGGAGCCGCATACCAGAACATCCTTGCGATAAATTGGCAGGGCTCCCTACCTACACTTCCCCTACTCAGAGTATTTCGCGTTCGTATTTGGATTTGTGCCATCGGCATGTGGGGGTTGATCAAAGGGCCGCCGAACATGGGGTGACCATTATGGAAACCACCAAACAGACTCGACTTTCACCACATGGGAAAAGCTACCCATGGTCATTTTAGGGCCAGGAATATTGATCAACCCTCATGTGCCTAATTTAGAGACACATATTTTGTGATGGCTTCAAGCGGACACCTGTGCGAGATCGACCACAGGGAATGGGTGTTCGACGCGCGGCCGTTTGCCGGCAATACTGTAGGCGCCCGAGAAGCAAACATGGAACTGAAAAATTCAGGTTCCATGTTTTTTTTGCTGAGCGCAAAGCTGTGGCAATGAGTTTGGCTCAACACCATCTGCATTTTTGTTGGTATAATGTCCACTCCTTTGCAAGCAACATTTCAAAATGAGGCTCTGATGTTTGGCCATTTGCATTTAGCCTTCCCCGCACAAAAGAGCATGCTAGATGCAACTCGACCTTCTGACGACCCCGGTTACTACCACTGGTTTGCCAATGGTGAAGTCATTTAATGAAGTTGAACACGGGCTTGCCTGGCAACACTGATATTTTCCAGCGAGGATTTCTCATCAAGGGGTTTGGAATGACTGCAACATTCCGGGCTGATCAACCAGTTGAACAAGTCGCAAGAGGGCATCCAAGTTCAGAAATGTGCTTCATGTGCAAGGGCTTGCACCCCTTTGATGGTGGGCCTGATTGCGCAGAATCATGGAACCTGACAAATGCTCTGGAGAGGGAAAGAGTGGCTGGCATGATTGTCTTACATGGCAAAGTGTGCGCGTGTCTTGCGTTGTTCAGAACTTTGGTCCGGTGAACAGTGTTGATGTCGACGTCCTCAGGTGAGTCGTGGCATGTCGCCCTCTCAACAAGCACAACCACAGAGTCAGTTTCCATTGACGGGCTGGGTGTCTGCATGTGCTTCGGTGCCAAGCTGCCTAAGCTGCGTTGAGGGGTGGGGCTTGTTTCCAAAAGGAGACGACATGAGTTTGTCTCAAAACAAAACTCCTTCCTGTGTGCTTGGTGTTCTTGTGGGTGGCGTTCCTCTAAATGCCCCCACAAATTTCCCCCTTGTGAGACACATCCACATAATTTACCCAGCCTCGTGGAGTGCTTGGCTACGTCAGGTGGAGAGACATTGACGTTCTGAGCTTGACCATTTCAGCGAAACGAGTACCAAGGGGGGGATTTGATCTTTGACAGCTCCCTCATGTCCATTGACCCTGGGAATTTTGTTTTCCCGCATTACCTCTCCCCACCCCCCCCTGTTGGCCCGCTAGTGAGCCATCACCAAGGACACGGCAGATCGTGAGGGATCTCATGCCACACATGCCGACCTGGAAGAAGGCGGACGGCAAGTACAACCAGCGCTTCGCACCTCCACTTGACACCGGGGGGGGGGCGTTCTTTTTGCTACGGCTCGGCCACTTTGAGAACAGGAAATGCAGCAACCAAAACTCGTATCTTTATGCTGAGAGGAGTTAGTTGCATCTTGTTGCTGCCTGGTGTTTTGTATGTCCGGCTTTGCGGGAGAAGGTTCACAGCGTACACTCAACACTCATCGATGTTGCAAGATGCACAAGCTGAGAGTGAAAGTCGGAGTGGAGAATCTGAGTCAGTTTGCAATCAGCAAAGAGGATAAGTGGTCTTTGCAACATGCCAGGATATAGTCACATTGCTTTCTGAATGCTCTTGTGCAGGTTACCGCTGCATTCCATGCGTTGCGGGAACATTGACCATCTCCCCAGCTAGGCCAGTGCGGGTGTTTTCAAGGATATCCTGGTCAGGAAGAAATCGTCACCTTCATCCAAGACTGGGAGAAGGAGGGCACGCATCTGACGGGCAACGGCCGACTCGGCAAAGTGCTGCTAGGCGGCTGCAGCCGACAAGCGGGGAACGGGGAAGTTGAGAAGCAGACGAACGTTTCAACAATAATTCTAGCAGCCTTACAAGTTGGGTTTGCGACCTACCCATGACGGTTTCTTTGTAGGGATCCTTTCTTGGCGATGCTTATTTACACAAATCCGTTACACAAGGTTTGGCCTGAACTCAGCGCCTTCGGAAGCTTCAACTGGTCTGTTGGGAAGCCTTCTGAAGCATAGTCAAACATGCCATCCTCCTGTCTTCCCTGGGCAAAGGCCCCTTGACCTTTTTTGACTCGCAGTGCGTTTCGGCCAGAAGACGAGATGGTTTGTTTGCAGTGGGTCGGTGAGTTGAGTTTTGTTCGGTCTAGCTCCAAGACGGTCCTTTGGGAGCAAAGGAGCTTCCGGAGGACCACCCAAACAACATGGGCAAAGCATTGCGCCAGGCAAAGCCAAAGGCAAAGCAAAACAGAACAAAAATGCACGCGAGCAACCTAACCAGAGAATTATTAAGGCAGGAGGACCAAGGACTGTTAGCTTGCTTTGTTGGGTGCGCACCTCTATAAAGCACTTGCACCTTGCATTCCTGGCTTGTGTTGATACAAGCAACGGGCAGCAGGCTAGCTGCAAAAGAATGGATGGCGCCATTGATGTATGAGTATGACGAGTGTTTCAGATTCGCATCCCCGCGTGATACATCGAGGGAATCGTCAAGCCAGCTCGCTGCCCCCCTTTAGCCTCGCCTTCGGATCAAAAGGTCAACAGGGGGGGTTGCAAAAATGAGAATCCAGACACAGCAGTTTGGGTATGTCAATTTGCAGCCCCCTACCTCGCTACCTTTCGTATACGTTTTCTGGCACGTCGATAACCCTTTCGAGCATGTCTTCGAGAACGCTTGTAAATTGTTCTATCACGTCTAAGGCCATTGAATCTGCTTTCCTACACGTCGTCTCACACCTCCTTTGACTTTTATACATGATTTTTGATGTCAACGTCCTAGTTGTTTCTTCGTATTCGTCGATGTCACGTACTCGTCGAAGTGACTTGATTGCAGGCAGCTTCGAGGCGGCCAAGGATGAGGAGGTTCTGGAGGCGCTGCGCTTCGTGTACAACGACATCGCCCCCTTCCGCCCCTCGAGTGCGAGGGCGGAGGTTGTTGAAACGGCCCTGGCAAGTGGGACGAGTGACGTACGGAACGACGAATTTGGGAGAGGGCAGTACAAGAGTCCCACAACATGTCCGCCTTTAAAGGGGCGTCGGACGGGTGGACCAGCGCGTGGCACCTGAAGCTTGTCTTCCAGCCAGTTTTTCAATAAAATGGGTCGATTTGAATTGATGTCATTTACGCTGCAAATCGCTGTGACCAAAAGAGGGTTCCAAGGGGGGCAGCCAATTGCCCATGTCCTCGGCACTTTGGAAAGATATATGTCCGCGGGTCGGGCAACGGACTTCATCGAAAGTCACAATTCCATGGACGCCTTTTTGTTGCGGTATTCGCGGTTGTTTCAGGTAGCCTGCTTCCTAAAAGCGTTGGGTTATTGAGAACTCGGGTCAGTCCAAGGTAGCTGCATGTGGACGGGTCAATGGCCTTATGTACCCTTTGAGGAGACCTGGATTGCCGTGCAAAAGCAAAAACTTAGCGTCATTTTAGAGCGTGGTTTTGTCAATCAAACCAGTTGCTTACATTTGCTTACAGAGTTTGCCTTCGTATATCGCCCCTCCCCATGTTGGGAATTCCTTCTGGAGGGTCCCCGTTTGCTCCTACAAAAGGGGGCTCAAACGGCAGCATTTGATTGCTCAGGAGTCGCCGGCGAGCTCATCTTCGGCATCGTCAGCAGGTTCATCCGCGCCCCCACGACCTGAGCTGTGCAAGTGGTTTGAACTTGGCAAGCGATCGTTTTTTTTTCAAGAGACGGAGAGCTGCTGGCGGCAGCTTCTTTTTCGGCAAGAAATGATGGGCGGGTAAGTGCCGAGCGATTGTCGTTGCTTGCTCCTGAAGCAACTGGGTCCCGCCCACTACTTGAACTCCGTTCCCACTGACGGCCTAGGCAAGCAGCTCTGGCATTTGTGAGGGTCTTTCAAGCTGGCAATACGCGTCTGCCAGCTCACATGTCTGCCGATCGTTGCTTTCAAGAAGTGTTTGAAGCGGTACCAATGAATTCTGTCCTCAAAGCGAGCCGAGGGTAAAACGCGCTCCACCAAAGATCTCTTTCAGGGGTTGTGAGATTTCAGGTATTCGATTTCATTTACGGATCCATCTGCTAGGGCTTCTCTTTCCAGTGCCTTGCAGATAGACTCTCCTTGCCTTGCAGGTAGGATGTTGAGATCCCCCGGTATCACGCAGTGTCTTCTATGTTTGGTGTTGCCTTATTGTTAGGAGAACAGCCATAATGTACAAGTTTTTCAGCGGCCGGCAATTGGGCATGTTGCCATCGAGGGCGGGTGCTTACAGTCAGCCATGGCCCAGTTTTTCTCCTTCGGGCAAATGCCGAGGGGTTGAAAGGCGGATTCCGGATTCCGGTTGCGGAGTGAAAATGGGAGCACGCGGATGCCAACAGGGGCCAACGGGGATGGGCTCAAAGTAGCGGCCAGTTTTTGCGACCTGTTCCTTTTGCGTGCAAAAGGGAGAGCCCCCAGATAGACAATTATCTTCGTAACTGTCCCATCTCGTTTGAAAGGGAGCACGGGTCCACCCGCCAGTACAGCGTCCGTCGATCAATATTTCTGGGTTCCCACAAGAAAGACAGCCATGTTGAGCTGGTTGAAGGCAAGAGTGTCGCCAAGACATCGTTGCTTCGTGCGAGGACTTCGTCCTCATTGAGTCGCATGAACAGCGCCCTGGCAGCATCGAAGCGCGTGGCACCCTTGAGTCAGCCTCTTTGGGAGGGTTGAAAGTGGATCCAACAACAAACCTGTCATACAGTGGATGGACCTAAGAAACCCTGGAATGATGACTCCCCTGTAGATACCAACAAACAATGGTTCCCCATAGTTTCAAAGTGGTGCAGGATTTCGTCCATCCACAGTATTTGCATGAATCAAGTGCAGGGTCTCCGAGAGTGTGGCAAGCGAGGGAAGGCGCCCGAAGCTTGACCAACCCCGGGTTAGCCTCAAAATGGACTATCAAAGCATGCTTGGATTCCTTCTGGCTTCCTTTAAGACCGGTTCCCGCAAAAGAAGACATATCCACCTGACATTCCACAAACATCGTGTACCAACTTGATTTCGGACATGGGCGCTCAGGTACTCAGATGGCCGCATCGTGAGCTCGGCGCTCGGGTTTTGTGCTGGAAGCAGCAAAAGCGCTCTGGGCTTTTTGATTGGACGTGATTGATAGCAGCATGTGTCTCCCTTTTTTGAGGGTTCCCCTTTGTGGCTTTTAAAGAACGAAAGGGAACGCCAGCAGTTGGGGGGTCCCTCGAAGGATTCCAGTTGCACTGCGTTCGGGAAGCGCTCAGGGCATACGGGGGAGGCCCAGGGAAGTGCCTTCTGCGCAAAGTTGGAGTGGTTTCTCCTATAACCTCCAACCGGACCCCCTCCGGTTTCTTTTAAGCGCTTTCTGGTCCAAATCAATTTGGAGGCCGGAACTTCCTGCCTGGGGTGGTGAAGGGCCTCAAGGAGATTGATTTCAAGGAGGCCAGGGCCTGCGAATCGGTTTGAAAGATCGAGAGATCGGGTCAAAAGTCAGGGGCCAAGGCTTGCAGTGCTTCTGGCGACCCTTCTGTAATTGGATCTTTGGACTTTAACTTTTTGGTTGAAATAGCTCGGGTTTTCCGACTTGTTTGGACCCAGAAAAGGGATTCACTTGCGGAGGGGTCTACAGAAGCCAAGCCTAGCAAGTCCTGTGGCAATTTCTTCCTCTGCGCACGGTGACGTTGAGACCTTTGTCCTTGCCAAAGCTCCATTGCCAGTGCATTTGGCTACCAGGGTAGCCACACCAGTTCCCTGCAAAGGGGGGAAGTAGAGGGACTCGGTCCTATTGATGGGATCTACATACAGTTACAGCCGCTTCGCTATTCTTGGTATAGCCATTGATTAGTTTGTTGCTTCTGTGGTTCTGTTGTTTCTTGGTGGGGGCTGCAAAGAACAAAATCTTTGCTGATACCAAGGTTCAGGAAGGTGAAAGGGGGTCCAACTTGATGCTTGAGAAGCTGGTATAGCAAAAGGCACATCCAATCGACTCAGTTGAAAGGTTGACATGTCCAATGCGTCCCAAAGCGGCGGAACCCGTTTGCTTTGTCTTCCTCTCTTGCTGAGCGGAGTCTGACTCGAGGTACTTGCAAGACTGCTGTTCTCTATATATATAAGTGATTTTCTGGTGGGACGGGAGATGCTGGTGGATTCATGGTAACCGGAACACATGATCACAAGGGAAAAGTAGACGGATGTACTTGAGATGTCAAAAGGGGTCAAAGTACTGTGGGATGGACAAACTCCCGCACCAGGCATGGATGAAAACGCGCATAAATACAGGGATTTGCCACCTGGTGCAGAATGTTGCCACTTGCTTTGGCGAAGCGGTTTCACCTGCCGGCGCGGCTCGCGGGCTCGCGCAGGCCCTTGGCAAGTTCTGGCAGCACGGGCTCGAGGCTTTGGGTGAAAGGGTATTTGTGGGTGTGTGGGTTTTAGGGTACTTCGCGGCTGTTTGCCAGTTTTTTTGTTTTTAGTTGTTTTGGGTCTGTTTATTTCAAGTAATTGGGGCTGCAAAACAAAACACGTTTTGTTGCTACCATACCAATGGTTGGAAAGGCTACCCTTGAGTGGTAGTTTCAAAGGAATCCACCCATTTTGATGTTCGGTCCTGTTTCGACACAACCAATATTTGCAAAATGGTACAAAAGCTGGCCAAGACCCTCTGCCCATTGGTGACACACCGTCACTGTCAACGGGGATTGAACTAGTTGAAACACAGGAAGCCAGGAATTGATGTAGACGTTGACCACAGGCGGCTGATTCAGAAGCAAGCACCCCTGTTTTTGTTCGTCGCGCGGCATTACATGAAAGCTCCTACCAAATTATTGACTGTTTCTGGCCTCTTCCCACTGACAAAAATACTTCTGACATCTTCTGCTCGCGCAATGAGCGATCCGTTGTCTCAGGGCGCACGCGATATAAGCAACAACTTGGGCAAAATTCCTGATTCCCTTGGCCTTCATACAATCGAATTGCCACTTGGGCAATTTGGTCTCAGACCAGAATCCAATGGATTTGCGTTCTCAAACGTCCTAATAGATTTATGGCGCATCTCATAGACACAGTGATGCCTTGTATGCATGCTGTCTTTGCTGCAGCCATTCTTGAGCATGAGCATGTCATGCATTGTGGCCAGCTTTGATATGCGGGCGGCAGTCAGCATACTATGGTCCCCATTGCGATTGGGAAGCTTGCCTTGGAATACATCTCTGAAGCAACACAAGTTCCAAACCGGGACACAACTGATGGACTGCATGTTTCGTGAATAAAGTGGTTCCTATTCAGCCTGAGCAGTACCTTGGACGTGAAGAATCCCTGCAAAGCAACCCAAGGCTATGGTATGTGTTGGGCAGTTTGTTGAACTTGATTATCTCTGGACGAACTCCGTTCGCACCAAGTTACTAAGTTGAAACCACGGGGAACCATGGTTTGCTTGGTATTTACGTTGGGGAATCGAATCAATCCAGGGTTTCTGAACGGTGCGAAATCGATTTCGTCCATCCACAGTGGTTTCTTGGAACCGCCGGGGCCGCGAAGTGGCATTCACATCCCTCCTGCATCGCCCACGGGCGCCTTGCGGCATCATTGCGATGGCAGAGGCGCAGGCGCGGCGGTGTCCGTGTAGAAACTCGTGCTGTCGGTGCCTTTGTTCGAAGGCGCTCCCCTGCAATATTGAGAATTCACCGACAAAGGTGGCCTTTCTTGCCATAGCCACTGGAGGGGTAGAACAGATTTTGTATCATGTTCCATAGAGAACATCAGAAGGTGGTGTCCTCAGCCGAAAAGGGTCCATGGGAGTCCAGCATCCACTTCAAACGGAGCTCTTCCGTGTACCCATGCGGCCCATTGAAGGGGAGCTGTTGCTTGCTTCTATATGAGGCCAGGGCGGCATATGGCAGCTGGGTCACAAAGTTTCCGTTTGAAGCTGGCTGAAAGAATGAGCACCTTTCGGGAGTCGGGAGGTATATTCAAAACCGACCTTATGGCCTTTTGGACTCAAAAGGTCAGCCTTCTTTTTCCCGGTTTGGGCAAGTGAGTATATTCTCAGGATGCCTGGTTGAACTCCCAAACTCGGTGTGACTTGTTCACGTCCCCGCAGGAGTTTTCAGATACATCTGTTTCTTTTGGGAAAAGGGCAGACGTTCAAACGCTGTCAATGAGCAAAGGTGTAAAGAGGAGGCTATTCCGTGAAGAAAGTCATTCCGACCGCTGAATCTATGTCGATTGACTGTGACCAGGGCACATGATGTTCGTACACATGCAACCCGACCAAAACGAGCCAAATTGAATCTGGATTTTTCTGGCCTAGGCACGGTTCTTGCCAGGGATGGGGTTTACTACCAGGGCTCCGCAGACAGCAACAATTGAAAACCGCTCAAGTCGCCCTTCCCAGAGGCTTCATGAACACGTTTCATGCTTGGGCAGTGATATGTTTGGGTGAACCCCACGTAGGCAATCCCTGTATATGGACCTTGTGCTTTCGGCAATGACATACGTCCTTTCTTTTGATTCTTTGATCTGCATGCTGCATGCACTTGGTATGCCTCTACTGCGGTAAGGTGTCCACTTCTTCCGCCCTTGCAGTATGCAATGGAAAATCGCAATGATCTTTGAAGCCCGTGTCAGCCCTGATAGCTAATTGGCTCACGGCTTTGACATTGCAGCCAGTGCCGTAGACACGTAGCGTGCTGTTTCCTGTTGAACATGACGAAGGAGGGTAGACAGCTGATTTGCGAGTCAGGCACGAGATGCCGAACCCGGAGGCGCTCATCGGGGTTCTCGATGCAGAAGCTTCGAGACGGACACGAAGGATCTGGGGTGCTTGTGCATACCCCTTCTGGGTCACCCAGTAGTGCCCTTTTACCCTTTTTTGGGGGAGGGTTCCCCTACTAAAATCGACTACAGAAAAAAGGGTACCTTTATTTTAACCTCTCTACTGGAGGACCTAGCCTTCCTTAGGCAAGTGACCCGAAATTGTTGCTGCTCATTGCCCCTCCTCGACAGCCCTATTATGTAAGCATTATAGAGTGGGTTGCCAAGAGGAAGAAGGTCAGTTCAGTTTCTTTTTTGTTTTCGCCACGAGACTACCTGAGATGGTCACTGTTCTCGCCATGACGCTGCATTTTGGTTGGGCTGCCCTCTGACGTTTCACGGCTCCTGAGGTGGGTTACAGTGACTTCGTGGCGGCTTTCTGAGTGGGAGTTATGCTTAGGAACCGTGAGCTAGTAGGAGGACATAAATTTAATAAATTGGTTGAGCCTAAAATGGAGGAGTCAACGTCACGCCACATTTGTCTGTCAAATTTATTCTTGCCTGTCAACGTTACATCTGGATGCAC